ATCCGACCCTCCACTTTGCGGGTCACTTATATCCGACTCTCCAAATCACGGGTCACTTGGATCCGACCCTACACTTCGCGGGTCACTTGGATCCGACCTTCCACTTTACGGGTCACCCAAGTCCGACCCTCCAAGCCGTGGGTCACCCAAATCTGACTCGCGCCAGAGTCAAGGCAGAAGATGTTCTGCGTCTGTTTCGTCGATCCCTTTGAGTTTCGCATCAGCGGTGGAGTCCCGCGACAGCGTAGACTTGTCCCGTTTCAAGATGAAGATCACGGATCGTCTTCGTCCTTCGTACGCGGGTCAAGGCAAAGCCCCGGTCAAAGAACACTTGGGTCGGATGACTGAATCCCGAGCAATTACTCGAGTTGGGGGTCGCACACAGAAAACTTTTGTAATTGACTGCCTCGGACGGCGAATTAAACTCCAAGAGCCCGTCAAGAGTTCACGATCACAAATGCGTGACTCTAAACGCGTGACTCTTGAGAATGCTAATAAAGCGGCAAATCCCCTGAAAGAAACGTATTCATCTGATGATGATAACGTTATACCAGGGGAGTCGTGTCAACACACGATAGGTTACTCCGGTCATCTGACCGATGAGTTGTACTATCGGGCTGGGGGTATGAATAAGTTTCGGAAGAGATATGCCTGAGAAACAAAGTCTCACTGCCCGTGCGCCAAGTTAATCAAGGAAGTATTATCAGCGTGTAGCTGTCCTAAGACCGTTCCGCAGAGGGTCTCGGTATTTGAGAGGATCTCCAATGGAAAGGATAAGTCCAATCTAAAACGTCTCCGTAAGAAACGATCGGTCGTTCAAGGTGACGAACCCCCAAAGATTACCATCAATATGGTTGATAAGGGAAAATCGATTCAACCTTCTAGCTCTGACCCGCTTGTATCGCATCGTCTAACTTGATTACGATCAGGAACTATTAGACAAAGAGATTATCAAAGAATGCAGAGAGGATTATCCTTGGATAACGAAGCGTCAGATACCAACTCTGCGGTCGCTTCTGACAATACGATATCCAGCCCTGGTCAACCTCGCGAAGCATTCATGATCAATACTAAGCAAGTAGCCAAAATGGTTAAGGATGTCTTGGCCAGACAAAAAGAGAACTTCAAGTTCGAAATGGAAACGGCTATGCGACGGATGAGGGAAGAACATGACCAACAAATCCGAGCTTTGTCGAATCAAA